CGCGGGCGGTAGTTTGAGGACGCCTGCTATATGATCTTGGGCCCAAATCTCCACCACTCTGAGCTTTATTTTTCATACCCATTATGTGGAAGGCAAATCATGAGACTTTCTTTTGTTCATTTTACAAACACTCTTTGATCATCTACTCTGTGCAAAGTATAGGACTAAATGCTTCCTTTGGGGGACTCATGGCCTAGAGGGGATGGGGGACTCGTGTATGAGATTTTGTGCCCTTTCCAAATGATATAGTGAATTGCTCCCTTCAGAGAGTCCCTTCCAGATCTCATGGTCTGGGATTTATTAGGGAAGTGTCTTTGTTAATTGTCTTGGGCTCCCAACAATGTTTTAAAATAGCAACTTATTAGATTATCCAATCTTTTTAAAGAAGTGAAACCGTTCTAACAATAAAATCATACGTTGATTTCCAATACGTAAATCAGTCAACAGGGAAGCTGTTCTGGTTGAAGTTGAGGCAGAGGGCATGGAGCTTCCTGCTTGGGCTGTCTCTAGAGCACCTTTCTCTTAATCCTTGGGCCCCAGTGGAACACAATTTAAAAAACCACTGCTCTATTACCTTCCAAAGAGACTTGTAAATTGAACAAAGTTTCTACAAATAAATAAAGCCGGGGCACCCTGAGGAAGGATTAGTTAGAGGAGAATGCATTGTTTTCAGCCCTTGCCCTGCTCTTTGTTTCTTCGGAGTGTTGGTGGAGGCCCACGTCATGTGTAGATTGGTTCAAAGGACCTCAAAATGAGCTGAGGGCTTAAGAACCAAATGGTAGAGGATCTCTCCCTGTGCTGCCAGCTTAACACTCAGCTCCCATGTGGTAAGAGCAAAGTGACAAAGTGAAGTCTCTGCCTTAATTTTATGGAGAAAATGGCCAGCAATCTATTTAATGGAGATAGTTTGGAGGTATGAGAATAACCCATTTCTTATATGCTGAGTTCTTTGAGGGGAGGATCCATGCAACTTCATTATTTTACCACTCACAGCTTCTAGAACAAGTATACATAGTAAATGGATACTTAATAAATATTACTGATAGAATAGTATATAGAATAGTAATGAATTAATGAGTTAATAAATACATGTACTCTGTTTTTAAAATATTATGAAAAAACTCTCAAAGTCCAGATGGTATCCACCTACAAGCTCAGAAAAAAAAATGTTTTGTGAAATTATAAAATTGGAACCATGATATATTTATCTTTAAATGCCAATATCTGGCATAGAGACTAGCACATAGTAGGCTGTTTCAGACCAGTTGGGCTGGTGTGGTGGTCTCTAATGGCACTCTCTGAATTCTTCTGGTTGTCCAGCTTGCAGGCACATGGTGGGATTGTACTTCCTGGCCATGCTTGGGGACACAGGACTAAATCTGATCAAGAGCTTGATCAGATTGGCTGGTTGTTTAACAGCTAATGCAAAACTCTCCAGGACTCTTTTCCCTCTGTCAAGCTGACCTGTAATAATCCAGACAGTGGTTGCTACAGAGGGAGGGTGACAAAGTTGGTACAATATTGGAGAATATCCCTCAGACAACCCTCAGTTGTCAAGTAACATGAGTAAGAAACATCTGTGGTTTAAACTGTGGAGTTTTGTTTTTTTTAAAACACATTCTAACCTAGCTTGTTCTGATCAACATAGCTAAGCTGCAATATTAGATAGATCCAAACTCTTAATTGCCTGGTAAAATAGAAGTTTAAATTTTGTGCAATAACTGTGCCAGGTTGGTGAGGAGGGAATGGAGGAAACACGGCTCTGCGGTTACTCACAACCCAGGATGGTGGCCACTTCACCAGATTAAACACATGGTCTTCAAAGTCACTCAGTGGGTCTCTCCATCCCAATTACAGGTATCTAGTCACACGGCCACACCTAATTGCAAAGAAGGCAGAGAAACGTGTAGCTCTGTCCAGAAGGAAGAAATTGATTTTGGTAAATAGTTAGCGGTCTTTGCCAGATAGGTTTTCAATAGGTACTTGTCAAATAACTGAATAAATGAATAGACATAAAATGCAAATAAATGGCTGGATTGATAAGGAAGATTTTGTTTTCAAGTTTATGATCCAGACCACTAGATCGTTTTGTCTGGGCAGATATGCATCAAAACCAGTGATGGTACTATACTACCCTCCAAAACCCCTATTCTCTAACTTAGTGTATAAGTTTCTACTTTTCTGAATCCAATCTATACTTCCATGACTGTCCTATACCTAGAGTGATATTCAGAATAATTAACAACTTTATATAAGGCATGAGTCCTGTCTGGTCAGAGTAGACTTTGCCCAACCCATCAGCATGGAAGCCAATTGTAAACACTGGTATACAAATCATATCAGGCAAGCGTGAGCTCTGCCTCTGGCTCAACTTCAATGACCATACTGCCCAAACTAATGGTCAGGGTCAGAACCTGTGGTCTGACAATTGGCAAGGTTTCAATGTGAAGTCGTACAAATATTCAATTCATTCCATTAAAAAAAAATATATGCGATTACATAAAATTGGGACTGTCCCCAAATATCCAGGATGAACAGTCATCACATTCATATTAGAAATTGGAATCCTTGTACTTGCCCAACATATACCACATATACCATAAGGTGGGTATATGCAAAAGGCAATGGAGAGAGGCAATCAGAGAAGCCTGCACAGGATAGGTGGCATTTGAGCTGGTTTGGAAAGATAAGCAATATTTTGACAATCAGAGATGGTAATGGTGGGAAGAACTTTCTAATCAGAAATGCCAACATACAGAACATTTTGTTTCTCCCTTTCTTGTAGCATTTATTCTGGTCTACCTTACATTCAACTTTTGTTGCTATTCCTTTTATCTTCCCTGCTATATTGTGAGATCCTCAAGGGCAAGAGAGAACTCTATTCTCTGCATCTCTTTTGTTTTCTGCAATGACCGACAATTATAGGTATCCAGTATCTACTGGCGGTATAATAAAGGGCAGAATCATTGAACAAGGAATGAAGTAAATTTAAAATACACTCCACAGTTTCAGCAGAAGAGAAACCATACTTTAGAAAGCTCTACTTTCAGAAGTCAACCTCAGAGATCCATGCACTTAAGGCAGATGCAAGCCCTAAAATAATGAGGTCCTGGCTCTTAAAAATAACCGCTGTCCAAGGTACTTTTTTCTCACTGCCTGCATCTACTGAATCCTTTGGCTGTTTGTTTGCTCCTATTAGCCTTGGTCCCTTGGGCACTTCTCTTCCTCAGATGTTGCTCTTATTTGTCTCCTGGCAAACCTCACTCTTTTCTCAATTCTCTAAAAACTCTAGTCCTCACTGCTTTGCCTTTTCCTCTCCTTGTTCTTTTTTCTGACCTTTCTACTGATCAATGCATTTCTGGCTACACTGGCAGCTAGATCTACTCTTCATCCAGTTTGGCCCAGCTACCTGATTCTTGTGGTGTTTCCAAAAGAATAAATTATAACTTGGTAAAATAGAATTAAAAGATGCAATTACTTCTACTTTCAAAAAGCCTCTGACTAAATTATACACTAAGTGATTTTTTTTTTTTTCTGACAACATCACGGAATTAAAGAGATCTTTTTTCTTCATAGCTAGGGAACTGGCATAGATCCAGGAATGAAAGGATTGAAATAGACAGGCATTAAGATTCTTGGTCACTCTTATTTAAAAGTTTAGCCAATGAAGAAGAGGGGATATCCAGTTAAATCTCCAAGCTTGCAGATAACAGAGAATTTCTTCATATGGGAAAAGCAAACTCCTGTGATAAACTTCTGAAAAATGTCAGAAGAAACCAAATGGAGGTGAAAAGGTGGACGTACATTTTGACATGAACAAGAGTAAGGCAATGATTTTTAGGGGGAAAATTCCATCCTCTGCTCAAAGGACATTGGGCTCTGAGTGATCATTATAACTTGATGAGGGGACTCAGGAGACACCATGACCATTCCCTGAAGAAAGCCAATGGCCTTTAGGGTCAAGGAGGTATTGTAATAAGACAGAAAATATTGCTGCACCCTTGTACCAGCCATAAATCTTCCACTCTTGGAATTCTAGATTCAGCTCAGGCTGCCTAACCTGTCCTCATTTTACAAATGAAGTAACACTGCAAAGCTCCAGAGAAAACAACTAAAATTATCAACAGCATGCAATATATGAAAATGAATCAGAAAGATTAGAACCATCTGGAGAGAAAGAAGTTGAGAGGGGATGTGTTTTGAATCCTTCAAAAGACTGTAGAATGTGAAAAACTGTGTGTCACATGAAGTATCCATAGACTATAAAGTGTATATATGTGATGAAGGAGCTAACCCTTGAATCTTAAAAATGTAAAATTGGAACTGATAAAAGAGTCAGTGTTTGTCCATATTTGATTTTTCATTATTTATTTTTCCTGAAGAGTTATTGAGCACACCTACTATGTTCCAAGCATTTAGTTAGTCTCTCAGAATACCCAAATAAGTAAGAGGTAGCTTTGCCCTTGATGGGAAGTTTAACTGATGAGAGAGAGAGAGAAAAACAGGAAGAATTGCATTATTAAAAGCACATACTAATTAGAGAAAGGGGTCACTGGACTTCACAATGGAGGTGACATTTGACCTGGGATTTGAAGAATGAGTACAACTATGTCATCAGGCAAGGTGGAAAAGAATATTTTAGGAAAAACACATGGATACATGAAAATGGATGATCTTTTAAGGGACATTAGAGGGACTAAAGGTGGACCCACAAGTTGGGCTCCATCTCAGGTGGCAAGAGCCTTTGGAAGCAACACCAAAAGGTTTATATATGACAGAGCCATCGGAATGTTTAAGCAGTGAAATAACACAGTCAGATCGGCATTTTAGAAATGTAGCTCAGCATTTGTTACCCTATGGGAGTGATGCAGCCTAGAAAAGAAATACCTATGTTCAAAAAATGTTTTTTCATCAATTAATAAACAACAGAAAATCAGAAGAATTCATAGGAGATCCAAACTCTTTTTGAGGTCAACAATACCAGAATGCCAGGGCAGAATAACACATGGCCTGCCTTTATCCTTGCTAAGCACCAGTCAGGGGCCTAAGCAGTTCTGAGGATACAATTTTCTACACCACTCGATCCCCTGGAACAAAGCTTGAGGTGAGTGTGTGCACAAGTGCATTAGAAAACTAGAAGCCCTCTTACAAAAGGGAAGTGTGATTTCCCTTTCCCAGCATTGAACTTTTGTGAACCCGAGTGGCCTTTGCCCAGCCAGACAGAATCACCTGTGAGCTTTCACACTGCTCTGCAGCGGCTGCTGCCCAAAACCCATCAAAGCTGCAGCAAACACAAAGGCAACAGAGTAGCCGCAGAGTGAGAAAGAATGTACCATATGACAAAGAGGCTGGTGGAAGGGTACAGAGTAAAAGCATCTGCTATTAACTCAGTGCCTTTTTAAAAAGATGTGTAATACAAAACTCATATCTACAATGGATTTTAGGTCTGTTTTTGCAAATGTTTTCAAGAATGGGTAGAATATCTGCTTGGGTGAAATGGAAGCTGAAGAGAATCAAAGGAATTGTGTCCTGCTTAAAGGAGAGATAAAAAGAAAAGAAAACTTTAGAAGTTTTCATACTCAGACTGGGGTCAGAGGAGCGGTGGTAGTAGTGAGAGGGTTTATTAAGGAAAATTTAGAAGAGGAGACTGAGTCTAGACAATGATGGATCATGAAACACATGAGGGAGATCCAGATGGAACCAGGAGGAAACACTTCCCAAAGATAAAATATTTGCTATGACTAATCAATCGTGTAAACAGATTTTTTTGTTGTTGTTTATAGCTCACAAAATGTTTTGCCGTACTTTATTTTGATTTTGGCATTTCATTATAAGCCCCATTTTTACAGATTGAGGAACCTGAAACTTCATGAGGCTAATGGTCGGGCCAAGTTTACACAGCTAGTTAGCAATTCAGCTAGAATGGAAGAGCAGATCTTCTGTGTCCTGACTTTGGACTCTCTCCTCTGCGCTGGGGTGCAGAGATCCCTCCGTTTCCTTGTGTCATTGAAGGCACTCAAGAAGAAGACAGGCCTAGTTGTGTGTCGCCGTTAAGATGTCTCAGTGCGATTAAGCAAGGGAATGGTGCCAGAAGGGGCTGGTCCTGGGGCTGAGAGCTGATGGAAGGCCTTCGTTGGTTCTCAGGTGGCAGTCACTTCAAAGCACACTGAAAATCCTGAAGGACAGAAGTATTTATTCCTTTGACCCGTGGGCTCAGCCCTACAGTTGCCTCACTTTGACAAAGCACACTGCTAACCTCAGAGGATATTTACTAGTCACCCTCCCTTCTACCCCCTGGAGACAGGGAAAGAACATTTAATCATTTAATCAGGGGAGAAACTGCATGGAACAGGTGAAGTAGGTGATCCAGCACCCCTTAGATTTGACACAGAGATCAGAATGTATCACTTAATATTTCATAACACCTGGGGCCCTGTCTGTAGCTTCTTGCCCATGTCCTCCTCGTGCCGTGTGCTGCTTTAGGGCACTGCACCTATCACTGAGTACCCGTGGGTGGAGGACAACTGCCAACGGTGTCAGATGATTGCCCCTGCAATGATGTCGATGAATTAAAAAAAAAAAGAAAAAGAAAAATCAATTTTTATCAGCAGATGGATCTCAACAGAACTATAAAATGATACTATTTTAAGGAAAGGCAGCACTGATTTCCTTCTATTTTGCTATGACAGACTCAGCGATACCATCGACCCCACCAAGGGGCATGCTGCGCTACAGCCCGGAGCTCCACTTTGAGAAAGGTGACATTTAGAAGCCATTTTGAGCAGGCCTGCCCTGTCCGTCCATAGACACTTAGCGCTTTTGGTGCATTTAAATTGCTTTTTGCAGAAGTCGAAGGGATCAATAGCTCTTAGACTCTTTAAGGGACGAATAATATACAAGATGGACATTTTAAGCTCTTTAGAAAATATATTCATGAGGTCGTCCAGTTTCCCCTGATACCCAACTTGGATGGTGACATTTATTAATGTTTTTGCAGCAAACAGGAGGTGGAGCTCTCCAAAGGCTCTCATCTCTGTACTTCCAGAAAATATTGATTTTTTTTTTTTTTTTAACAAGAATCAGGGTAGGGGTTGGATAAAAAAACTCAAGGCAAAAAAAAAAAAAAAAGAAATTTAAAAAAACCTCACAAAAGAATAACTTAGCTCAAAGCTGGCTTGACAAAGTAATTCTATCTAAATAGCTTTGTGCCACTTGAGAGAGACAATTTCTCCTGATTTTCTCTTTGAACAATTTCATAGTCTTCATGAGAGGCATGCTTTGAGAATATTATGTTCTTAATGGTAATGCAGGCCTTTCCACTGAATCTTCCTATGAGAGAGAGGGGAGAGAGACGACAGCTTTACATTACTGTGGATTTGGAAATCAATTTTAAATTCCGATTAATTAGGGTTAATTAATTAGATGTTTGGAAAAAACACTCTGAGATGCCAGACCGGGGGAAAAAATAACTGCTTCGTGTTGGCTGCTTTAAAGAAGAGGCTGAAATCCATCAGAAAGCTCAGTCTGACTCAGGGAGCCCTGGAAATATTTGGGTATGTGATAGAATTCAAGAGAAATCAGACATTGGAATTTTTCCTCCAAAAAAAAAAAGGAGAAGAAGAAGAAGAAGAAAGAAAATGTAATTATACTGGCTTTCTTTTGTTAAACTGATGCTTTATAAGACTTCAGACAATAGGAGTCTGAGTATGTCTGGTGCGCTGGCTGTAACAATGGTTAGCGGACGGGCACACAGGAATCCGTTCCCTGCGTATGTTAGAGACATCTCAGCGCCAGGCCCCACGTGGGGCTGGCAGATAACAGGGGCAGAAAGAGGCCTCTGCCCCACATCACTTTCAGTCCTGCGCTGACATGGCAACAGGTGGCTCCCACCGTCCGCAAAGTGCTATTTTTTTAGTCCACAAAATGTTTTTGTGATTAGTTGTTAACATTCAGAAATGAGTAAATTTCACATGAAAATCCAGATTTTTAGCTTGTCTTGAAAAATTATTACATATAACCACCCTGAGCGGTATTCCTGAACCTCCTGCAGCTTGGTGGTGACATTCCCTTCTAATCAATCGTGCACGCTGCAGTCCCCCGCCCCTTGACTCATGTTACCTACCCACCACCGCTTCCCCTAGGCCTTGACTTCTTCCTACTCGTTATAGACACACACAGAGAATGGGAAAATACATGTGGCCAATGCGCCAAGTGAGGACTGAGTGAGCCTTGTGCCTGAACATTTAGAAATTTTCAGCTAAGCTATCGTGACTGGTCTTTGCATTCCTCATATTCTCACCTGGTCTTTTTTGCTGACATCATTTCAGTACTATTGAAGACCTTCTTTCTCCTCAAGGATCCCTTATACCCTTAAAATCCTTTCAAATCATCAAACAGCACCTGAGCTAGGGCTCTTCTTGGATCTAACCCTGGGGGCTCTAACCATCTGGAAGAGAAGATGATACTTCCCAACCCACAAATACACACTTGTGTTAAGCAATGGCCAGGGTGGGGAGGCTTAATAGTGTTGTCTAGGTACTCCAGCAGGTCCACTGCTCTTTGCCTAGCTGCCTATTCTGGTTCATTAATCTTCAGTCTAAATTCCAGCTTCCTAGAGAATTCATCCATGATCACCTGCTCAAAGAAGCTGCTTCCCAGTTTCTCACTATCTTATATCCTTCCTTACTGGTTTCGCAGCATTTGATACAAGATAGTATTGTTTTATTATTATTCTCAGCTAGAATGTGAGCTGGGTAAAGGAAGAGAGGATATCTGTATTGCTTCTCATTGCATCCTCTGTGCATGATATAGTAACTGGTATGTAGTAGAATTAACAAAAATATTTGCTGAATTAATGAATAAAACCCTAAATCATTGCAAATGTGAAAGACTCTTCTGGAAATGATGGGGGGAAGTCAAAGAATGTTTACACTTTACATCTCAACCCTCAGACACTAGACCCAAACTGAAGTGTATCTGAGCCATTTTATTCCTGAAGAAATGACACTCCAAACCTAAGTCACGGTCACAGTTGGGGCCACTTGACCTTCCTGAATATGTTATTCCCTTCATTGGCAGAGACTGTCTCTTTCCTCTTTTCCAAACAACTTATGACCCTAAGTGGGACTGTGCTACATTTCTTCCCATTCAATGTGTATTTTGGATGCTCTGTTTCCCTGCCATGCAAAGAGGACCCCTCAGTACCTCAAGATAAGAGGCAAGGACGAAGAGCCAGCCCTCCTTGTGGGCTGAGAAGGAGCTCCATTTGGGTCCCATGATCTTCTTCCTGCCTGTAAGGCCCTTACTCTTTGATGCAATCCCAGTGGCCAAAAGCCAAGCTGAGATAAAAAGATTTCCTTCTAGAAAGGACAAATTTTGTTTTTTACTAAACATTGATCAAACTCCAGTTCTTGAATCATTTCTTCCAAAAGCATGATTTTTTTTTTCCCTTGGGCACAGACTGTATACTTTCTCAAAACCAAAGAATTCTTACTTTTGAAATTGCCACCCAAATCCAACACATCTATCTAGACTCTCTGTAACCCATTAGATGCACCAAGAGAAGAAATGGCTCTTCCAGAGGATTCTTGCCCTGGAGGTGTGTCAGCAAATGCCTGCAACTGGCATTTGCTGTTCAGAGGCTATTCAGCATGCCCCTGCCTCTAAAGAGTTTAAAATATAATTATCATAAATATAATCAAAATAGCAATACAAGAAGTAAGTACATGGCTATATAAAAGGGGCACCAGGCAGGTTGTGTAAACCCAAGTACTATGGAGATTTGAAGGAGAGGGAGATCAGGTTTGAAGTGGTGAGAAAGGCTACATCAAAAAGAGAGGAGAGCTGGTTGTTAAAGTATGGAGAGGATTTATGCAAGTTTAAAGGACAAGGGAGTACAGTGAGGGGCTGGCATTCTCCCGGCAAGGGGGGGGGGGTTGCGAGCAGCAGGTAGTGATGGAGCGGCAGGCACCTAACTACGATTCTTGCCTTTTCTGGAGCGTGCCCAGGAGGCCCCGTTCTGCCCGCTTATTACCAACCTCTGAAGTACTCCATTATTTTATTAGTTCCCCATCTAAATTATTTATCTGAGGGACTGCTGCTGCTGACCAGCTCTGATAAGTAATGTCTTCTTTGGGAAATGCTGCTGGAGGGACTAGAGTCTCCTGTGGCTGCCAAAACCCTGAAAATCAATTTTAATTCCATGTGTGTGTGTGTGTGTGTGTCTGAGAGACTGGGAGTTGATCAGAGGGTGGCTGCCCTTTCTAGCAGGTCTCCATGAGATCTACAAATTAGATTTCTGGGGGCAACGTTAGGGAAGTCGCCTGGGGATGCTATTCTTGGTGTTGTTTGTTATAAAGCAACTCATAATAACTTGACTGGGAGCAGAACATTAAAAGGTCGCCTCATTTTATCTCCAATATGCTTCCCTTTGAAAAAAGTCACCTTGCAGCCACGATTCGAGAACAATTTGTTAGTGTGTTTACCTTTTCCTCGTCATTCAGGCTGAGCTTAGTAGTCAGACGAGAGCACCACTTCCCAGACTTTCAACAAGCTCATGTACGCTTTGCACGGCCGTGTTTGCCTCCTTTACCAACAAATGTGTCCCTCTCCTACTGGTGTTTTTACTCTGGTGCCCTACTGGAGCTGTTCTGTCTGTTATTGAAAACAACAACTTATTGCCAACAGCATGCCCCTTTTAAGGAGACCCGAGCTATAATAGTCAAAAATGTACAAAGCAGATAATGCAACGTGAGGGAGGAAGAGTAGACATTAAATGAAGAGGAAGGGGGGATTAGATTCCCTTTACAAAATATTCTTCCATGTAGGTGGCATGTGTCCTCTGTGTGCTTCCAAATTTGACTCAACTTATAAAATTAAACACCAGTCACCTTCTCCTGTGTCAAGGTAGAGATAACATGTAGACTTCACCAATCTGATAGCAGCTTTGCCCGGTGGAAAGAATGGTTAATGTCAACATAGATACAGCATTGACCCTATGGGCTATCCTTGAGCCTTTTGCTATCCTGGTTATATATATACATATATAATGTTTCCACGAAAATAAGATAGGGTCTTATACTTATTTTCCTCAAGAAGACACCCGGGGGCTTATTTTCAGGGGATGTGTTATTTTCCCCTCAAAGCCTCAGCTTCTAGCACACACAGGATGGCCGGGACCTGACAGGGAGAGCCGACCTTGTTGGTGGGGCTGCCCGCACCTTTCTGGTCACCTCTGGGATAGTAGCTGTCACCATGGGGCAGATGAGAAGGGCTGCTCATCTTCTTTACCACTTCATGACGAAAAGCATGGGTTGTGCAGATGCGCTGCCTAGCAACACCCATCACTAGGTCTTATTTTCGGGGTAGGGCTTCTGTTGCGCAAATGCTTAGAAATCCTGCTAGGGCTTATTTTATGGGTAGGTCTTATTTTCAGGGAAACATGGCAGAAGATGGACAGGGATCCAGCTTGGATTCTCTCATGTGTTTTATAGACCACATCATCCTAGAGGTGAATTGGAAGCTCTGCGGGGGACTTGCCTCTCTAATCCCAGGAGTGACCTGAAGTGAAGGTCTGGGAGAGGCAGCTTTCCCTGGGGTACAGCTGCCTGGGCCTGAAGATGCTTAGACCCCAAGAGAATCCAGCCAGCTGTGCACTTCCACCCAAGCAGCCTCAGAGGAAGCCATGGTGCACATGCCATATTGGGTACTTCTTTTAATTTCTCACCGTGTGTACCTTGAAATTAGAAATGACCACTCTCTCAAAATTGCTGTTGGCTTCAACAGACAAATTCACAAAGACAGTAAGGGGTTAATTTTTCTCCTGCAAAAAGAAGCTCCAGACCAGATAGATGCCTTGCACTCCTGCGCTGCCACCTCGGTGACGATCTGCCATCCTCATGGTCACCTGGCAGCCTCTATGGCTCCCAGCTTCAGTTCTTAGGAGGCAGAGAGCGAGGTGAAAAGTGCAAGAGCCAGATGAATCTGAACCTCTCCCCACGACCTTCCCCGGTAGTTCTATCCAGTGACTTCCATTTACATCTCACTGTCTAGAACTGTTCCATTCGCCCACGTGCAAAGAAGGGCTGAGAAATAACTGGACTCACTGTCACCCAAAAGAGTCAGGGCTGTATTATTAAGAAAAACGGAGAGGGGGTATCAGGCAGACAACCTGCAGTATCAGCCACAAAGAGCAAGAATCCTTTTCTTTCTTTAGACCCAAACTACAGCAGGACAATTAACATATTCCATAGGCTACAAATGAGAAATAATCACATTTCTTATAATGCCAGCTAGAAGGCTCCCTCCCTTGTTTTTCCTCTGCTAGCCTTGCAAATTTCTTACACTTGGTATTTACTGTGGCCAAACCTAATTCATTCATTTATGAAGCTATCTCAGGCACCAGCAGAAGTCATAAACTATTCATCTCGGGAATGTTTATATTTGAGAAGGTCACAGTATTGAGTGTGTGTATACTCCAAGGCCCCCTCTCTTTGTTTCAGCCCCTCGTGGCTTGGGCATGCTATTTTCCTTTAAACAGTGAAATGAGATGTACACAGCTCAAAATACATATTGGTGTTTTCCCATAAGCTCCAGAGAACTCCTAATAAAAGAGGCTTGGACCCGCTCTGAGTCCTGTTTTCCTCTCTTTCTAGCCCTCCCCACCACTTTCGGTCATATGCCAGCATCTGGTGATTAGGCCAGCTTTCCTTTTCTTCTTCTTCTTCTTTTTTTTTTTTTTTTCTTTTTAACGTTGTGGGCATCTCTGTGCTCTTAACCTCAAAATGCACAAGAGAGAGATGTCAGTTCCTGGGTCTTCCATTCTAAAACCCCAAATAAAATGGGACATTCAAGGAGAGAAGTGCTGGCCTTTTGAGGAGGAGTGGGCCTAGAATCCCCTCTGTACCCAAACCCCTTTTCTCATTTGCTCTGCCAAGAGATTTTGCAGCCCAGATAGGTGTGGGTCCAGAACACAGAGCTAAGCGAGTTTTCATACTCATGCTGCTGGAGATTGGCTTTGGGCTTGAGATAGCCAGGTAGCAGAAATATTAACAGAGGTAAATAATAAGATGGGTTTTTTAATGGCACCTTAAACCAATTTAAATTCAATCAGAACAATAACTGCTAAATACAAGTGAACCTATGTTAAGGACAATCAAGTTTAACAAAGTTAAATGACTGACCCCAGCACCCAAAGCCAAGGTCACCTCGGGTATTTACTACTCACACAGTTTCTAGTTACATAAAGTAGAATCTAGTTTCTCCCACTTTTTACCCCCCTCCCATGACCCTTTCAAGTGTCACCTTCCCCCAATAGGTTTGCTTTTGTGACAAGTCCGTCCTGCCTGTTCCCACTGCAAACTGTTCTTCTGCTGCAGCCTGGCTCCTGGTTGTCAGCTCCAGGAGCCCGGGGACACAATTCTCTCTTGCTAGGATGGTACTGTCCCCTATAGGCCTCAAAGTCTGGAGGGAAAGGGGTGCCAGGGAGGTGGAGCCCCTCTTCACTGACAGAGGCCCACGCATGGCTTGGCTTGCATTGCACCCAACACTGTTGATGCTATTCCATGCCGGGAAACAGACCTTTTCACTGAAGGATCATGGGGATGAGGTCAGGACAATATCAGGTATTCTGCCTAGCAAAGGTCTGGAGACTCTCTATGAGGCAAGGGGTCCATGGCTGCCCTCCTTGTCTGGCTCTGCAGAACCCACAGCCGATTCTCACTCACGCTTATCCATCCTCTCTTCCATCCACAAGCAAAGAACCCAATGGAGCTCTACTCCAGAGGAAATGTCCCTAATCAGAGCACATCAAAAGTATCTCTCTGGCCTGAGGGAGGATACACTTTTACTTCACTTTTAAGTCTTATAGACTTAACTTCCCCATTTTAGATAAGACCTAAGGCTGTGCCTTTTACGGCCCAAACAACCCATTAGAGTGTACTCCTAAACAAAAGAATACATTTTTCCCCAAGGTAAATGTTGTGACTCCTCTAGAATGAAAAAAAAAAAAGACATCTGTCTTATCTATATTTAGTTCCTTATTCAATAGTAAGTTCCCTTTCACTGTACTTGCCTGGGAGCAGCCACTGTGCAGAGCCCCAGATTCTAATTCAAGCTTTGTCACTAGCTGCATGATCCGGGACAAATGCTCCCATTTCGCTGGGTCTTAGTGCGAGTGCACGTTGGGGCGTAGGGACCTAAATGATCTCTATTAAGACTTCTTCAAATATTAAAATTTTAAAATTTCATTCAAGACTTGGTCATAATTGAGAAATCAAAAAAACAAAAAAATTTCAAGATTCACCTGTCTCAAAGGATATTCCTAGCTTGGGAACAAGGATAAATTTGCCTATGATTCCCCTCAGGCAGAAGGGCAGGATTAAAGGGTTTGGAACTCAACTGAACACAAAGCTATTTCAGCAGCTGTGGGTTCCAGCTGACAAGCCCAGCAAGCAGCTTCTAATAGTCTCCACTGACCCCATGGGGAGTTGACTTTGCTCCCTGGGGGTGACATCGAAGAGCTGATGCCTTCCAGGCAGCACAAGCCGGAATTTTATTATTATTGGTTTTGCAATTTGTTCGCATTTTGCTGTCATTTGCCTTAGTGGCCATGGATCTCTCTGCATTAAGATTTCGATTCCATTCCCCCCGGGCTCCCGTGTTTTATGGAGATCGCTGGTGTTTGCTGTCTTTATTGGAGTTGGTGTACAGCCCCTGGCTGCTGTGTTGAGCATAATCAAATGTCATTTATGAAGTCCTCCTGCCACTGGAGGACTGAGGGAGAGCTGTGTGGCCCATGCCTGAGCAACTCAAAGAGACAGGCAGCCGCAGAAGCGGACTCTCAGGTGCTGGTAAATTATGAGGCTGAGGCTTGATTATGTCTGACCCTGGCTCGCCTGTTGTGAGTTACAGGTCGCTTGCGTCTGCTCCAATGAGTTTCTTCCAGTTGGAGTGTCAGGTGCTGCTTGACAACTGAGCCATATTCCTCTTCTTTCATCTGTTGCCTGGAATAAGCAGACCACAAGAGAAATACAGACAGCACGAAGAGCAATGGACACTGATTCTGAACAGGGTTCTAACCCCGGCTCAGACATTCTTCTCATGTCTAACCCTGACGAAGCCACTTCTCAGCCTCGGATTACTCTTCCGTGGAGTTAAGTCTTGAATGAATAATCACTAAGGATCTTTTTACTCTGCATTGTAATTTGTTACTTTGCTGTGGTATTTTTGCCCTGCTGTAGTATTTTCATTTTGGATGCCTGATTTCTGACTTATGTGTGGCCCTTCTTTCTGAATCCCACACTCTGACTATGTAATTGTAAACCCTTGTAATTTCAGTATTTGACCTTGGAATGATTGCTACTTTCTCAACTTTTCTTCCACACTCTTTCTCCTCTGATTTCTGACACTACCATTCCCCCGAAATGTTCTTACTAAGGTCACTAATGGTTTTCATATTGCAAAATCCAACGGACCCATTTTTACTGCCTTCTCTCACTTGATATCTCAATGCGGTTAGTTATCCTTCTTCCTTGACCTGTTTGCTTTGAATAAAGCCACATGCTTCTGGTTTACTTCTCACCTCACTGGCTACTCCCCCTCTAAGCAACCTTTAATGACAACTGCATGCCACCAACTTCCACATCTATATTCCCATTTAGTACTTTTCTTCGGTGTTCCTCATCTTATATACAACTGTCTGCTTAGCATCTATGTTCAGATGTCCCACAGACTCCTCCAATTCGACATGTCTTGAACTAAACTCCTTATCTTTCTCCCACCTACAGTGGCTCCTACCTAGAGTTCAAGCAAATGGCATCTGTGTTCACCCTTTCACCCATGCCAGAAACCTGGGAGTCACCTTCCTTCCTCTCACTCAGTTCAGTTGTTTACACCTCCAGAATGTCTCCTAAATACACCTTCTACTTTCCATCTGTAAGGGAAATTGCATTTGTATAGGCAATAGGTTTCTTAGGCCAAACCAAGATGACTGCCAGAATGTTTTTCTCCAGCCCAGACCTCCAGCAAACTGGCTTTCCAGGGAGGCATGAGTCAGCACACTTATGTAACTAAGGTGTTACCTCCTGTGGGAACCCAAGTGATCATCCTTTGGCTTGGCATGTTGCCACTATTGTTCTGAGCCATGTATAAGCGCTCACCATGTCACCATGTTCTCGCTGTGCGCTGCATCCCCGCAACAATAAAGAGCATGTCTCACCTGCCCACTGCCGCTCACCTCTTCTTTCAATTCTGGAAGCCTGCTCTGGTACACTCACTGGCCGCAGAGCCTCCTCCCCACACCACCTATCCCCATAACCACACCTGGTCCACAGCACATTCCTTCTGGATTGCCACAAGGGTGCCCCTGCTTCCAGACTCGCTCTTGGCCTTAATTCATCCTCTTCACAGTTAAGAGATGTGATCATTTCTAAGCACAGATATGCTCCCCTCCCTCTCTTATCTAAAGTCCTTTGAGGGCTAAAGTCCAAAACCTTCTGTGTGACTTCCAAGTCATGTCATGACCAGGTGGTTTCCTTTGGAAACACTGGCCTCTGGTCTTCTTTTCATTGTTCAAGTTCACTGTGCTATTCGTGGCCTCACAGCCTTTAAGATGATCTTCCCTATCCTTGGAACACTCTTCTCACAAGTTTCCACCCGGCCGCCTTCACCTCCTACCAGCTTTGCCTTGAAAACCTTCCATCTAAATCAGGGGTTTCTCTTAGTCTCCTTTGTAACACACGATCATGTTTCTTCATACAATCATCATTATTTTATATACAGTTGACACTTGCATGTGTGTCTGGATTAGGGGCACCAAGCCCCGCCCCCCATAGTTGAAAATCTATGTATCACCTTTGATTTCCCAAAAACTTAACTACCAATAGTCTACTGTTTACCAGAAGCCTTACTGGTAAATGGTTGATGAAGATGTTAGTTTGTATATGTATTATATACTGTATTTTTGTAATAAAGTAAGCTATAGAAAAGAAAATGTTATTAAGAAAATCATAAGAAAAAAATATATTTACTATTCATTAAGTGTGAGTGGATCATCATAAAGGTCTTCATCCTTGATGTCTTCACATTGAGTAGGCTGAGGAGGAGGAAGTGGAGAGGCTGGTCTTGCAGTCTCAGGGGTGGCAGAAGCAGAAGAAAATTCATCTATAAGTGGACTTGTGCAATTCAAACCTATGTTGCTCAAGGGTCAACTGTATTATTTTATTTGATTATTTAGTAAGTCAATATTGGTCTAGGGAGACCAATAGATAGGGTCTAGACTCCAAGCTCCATGAAGGTAGTGCTAATGCACGTTTTCCACTTCACTTTACCTCTGATGCCTTTTCCTGAAGCTATTATATCAAAGAGACTCAATGTTTATTGAATTAATTAACAGATCCTAAATTCCGTTCATTGTTTCGCTAGCTGCCTACTTACCAGGACTCAGAACCTCTTGCCCTGGTTCTTGACATGCTGGCTTAATTAACCTCTTTGTAGTAGGATGTTAGATTAGAAGTATTATAAATTTACAATTATCAAGTTACAATTACACTGGATGTCAGGTTCTGGTACACAATCACGATGCAAACTTTCAGAGGAAATGAGAACAACCAGTATCATATTTCTTAG